TTAAAGTTTAAATTAAAAAATAATATTGAATATTGTTTTAAATGTTTCAGACATCACAGTGAAATAAAAAAAATACTCATATTTAAAATAATATTTAGGTTTAAAATATGCAGGAAAATCTGAAACTGTAATTTTTTTTTGCTTCCTCACTACCGAAGGTAGGGAAGCATTGTATTTGTGGGATAGGTTAAAAAAAAATTTTGTTCTCAGAATTGAAAATTTTCACTCGTTTACGTTTCAGACATGAAAGATCAAATTTGGTTCGGCGTCTGTCTATAGTCAAATTGATGTGACGGGCATATCATCTACTACCTGTCATCCAATTTTCAGGGATTGTGTTGGTTGGTGTCTAGATGGTTCCGCATTAATTTTATCAAATTCGATCCACCACTTCCGCTTGTGCATGCGTAAATACATTTTCATAGATCAGCTAATATTTCAGAAATGGCTCATTTGATTTGACTCAAAGTTATACAAAAGGTAGGTATTGGTGAAAAAATAATTTAGTGTCAATTTTATTGAATTCTGTCCATTACTTTCTCTTACATGTTTCAGAAATGTGTTTTCCTTGATACGTCTATTTCTCTAAAACCATAGAACAAGTTCTTTGCAAAAATTATAAAAACTTTCACTTAACTATTTTTGGAAATATAGTTACTACAATCAGTGTGTAGAGGCTGTGGTGGGTGAGAATGTTAAAGAGTTACCTGCTTCATCATTCTCGAGTTTAGCGGCTCCAGTTCGAATCTGTCCTGGGCAGGTTGAAATTAATTTTGTTTCGGATCTACAGAATGAACTTTGACCTTTCCAGCCATGTTTGGGGTTGAGAAAAAAAAAATGCTTGCAAGTGATACATTTACCACACCAAATTTTTGTTTATTTTCGCCAATCTGGATGATGGAACTCAACTTTTTGATTTCAATTTCAAGTTAAACTAAAATTTAAATTGTAACTAGGGATGGGATATCGAAACCCCAATATCGATATTATTATCAGCCTATAACTGTCAATACCATCAAAATATTGATAGGTGATATTTTCATCGATACAGTAAATATTTTTGAAATAGGAATATGAATATAAATATTCATTCTCTAGCACATGGTGTATGAAAAAAGATGTTATATTTCTCTTTAAATTAATTAATGGAAATATCAATTCTTCTAACCTTCTTACTAAAATTAATTTTCTAGTTCTTGTCCGTCTTAGTCATCCTCAGCTTTTTTTCCAGAAATTTCCATTAACCCATAGATCGGATTCAGTGAAATGTTAATTTATTTACATCCTACATAGATTTCTTTGATAATCAGGGTCATGGTTTGAGAAGGTTCTAACTAACAAGTTGGGCAAATTGGGTTACTGAGTGAGAAAGGTACCACGCACATTATTCACTCTACTTAAGGATGGCCATCAATAGTCGATATTATTGAAATATGATATTTTTCTCTACTATGCACTACATTCTATATGAAACAGACAAGAGGCTTATATATTTTTTTCCAACGATCAGATTCATAAATAATTTCTAGCGCTTTCGAAAACATTAGTTTTAATTTTTATTTTTAAATTAAAATATAATGTAACATCCCTCTTATATTTTACAAATAATAATAATGTATCTCGGAAGCTCACTTCTTACCTTTGAAATACTTCCTAAATAAATAAGAGGTTGTTTAATAATAAACAAAATTATAAGAGAATTAATATATTAATTTATCTCAGGTGCGGGTTACTGACAATCAGATCAACTCAGACAAACTATTATTATTTACACTATTTATACTAAAATTAAACACTGATTTTAAAATAAAGTCAAGTATGAATTGGCAAGCTAACCTTTTTTCTATATACATGTTTCTTCCTTTGTTGCACTAAATTCATTTGTCTTCAAATACTTTCCAAAGTTCTGCCAAACACAACTTCCAAATGGTAATACTATTACTGGGTTTTACCCACTGGAGCCAGGATCACTTCTCCTATCCTCTCTTCACTCCAGCCAACAACAACTGCTTGCCAAAACAAAAACCTTTGTCCCTCTCCTCTTTGGGATTTTCCTTCTTGGGAAACTACAGAGCAGCCATTTTCTTTTCCCTGCACTAGTAGAACTAGATTAGCTTGCCTTTTAATTGTTCAACATTAATTTATTAAACCCTTTTTACTCACTTCCAATAAAGGTGTACATTACAATTAATATCAAAGGAACGACATCAAAGTAGATACTATCGATGGTAAAATACGGAATATCTGAAGGAAAATATCGATATATTGATAATATCGACTATCGGTAGCCATTCCTAATTGTAACAATGGATGGTAGGGCAGTAGAATGAAGGATTCTCTAGAAATAGTTAGTGAAGTAAACATAATCTTTTCTTAAAATTATTACTTGTTTGTTTCCGATTATCATCATGAGTATATATTGATATATCAGAGACTTATTTTCAATCAATCATCATATTTTTTTCCTACGTATTAACTAAGATAATTCTCCTACGCTGTTTTGGTTTTCTAGGGTTTGTTTTTCATGTTTTCTTTACCCCTTATTAATAAAAAAAAAAAACTGTATCACTAACAACCCACGAAGGGTCTTGGGTTCAGCAAAATGTGAGGAAGTACTGTTACAAGGCCAACGGTTGTGCAGGGAGGTGATTGGCCCGATATCATGCTCAACCGCCAGGTTTTTCCTCCTTAATTAATTATTTTATTAAGAGTACCCACTTTATAGAGGCTGAGTTTGTCCCAGGGTCGACCCACGAGTGATGAAAAATTACTAGTCATCACCACCTGTCAGAACCTGGGGCTCTGGAAGTCAGTGATCACCCACTGAGCTACTCCCCCCCCCCCACCCCTCCGCTACCACTTATTAATAGTATTAAAAAAAAAAATCACAATTTTTATATTTTATAATATTTTATTCATATTTGGAATAAATAACAAATGATACATAAATAAAATACTTTAGTTTATAATCTTGATATACTGTTTATAATTTTATATCTTGCGATAGGCCTTTAATATAAATAAAAAGACTGATATGTATACAATATACCTGAAATGAAACAGTACAATAGTAATACTGTGGTGATATTATATAATATATATAAATATATATTTACATAAATTATATTAATAAAGATATTGCCACTTATCTTTGGCATCAGATATACCAATTTCTAATCAAATATACTGATACTATTCCAATTTCATTACATATGAGAATAACACAGGTACCGAAAATTGAACAATGTTCACCAAATGTTGAACATTATTTAACATAAGTATTTTGCTATAAAAATGTTCAAACATAAAAAAAAGGCACTTAAATTTTTTTTTATGAATATAAAAAAAAACATTGAAATTAAGTACCTTTGATAGAATAGTTATTTAATTTATATTTTACAAAAACAAAAAATTAATTCCAAAACTTAAATGATTCACTTCTTAATAAAGTTCTCCAAACTTTTTGACCCTGAGGCTGCATTGAGACCTTCATTTAAATCCTGCAAGTCACAATTTGCGGTAAAAAAAAAATTGTTTCTATAAATGACACTTCAGCTGTGAAATGAACTTTCTAAGAAATAATATGCGATAAATTTTGTATTAACTTCGTATGTGAGTAATTCGCCAAATTTCATATTTTTGAATGTTTTAATATTCAATCCTGTAATCAAGAACCTTTCGCAGACCGGTTTGACTGTGCTTGCAGGCCACATCTGGCCCGCGGGCTGTAGTTTGGAGATCCCTGTTTTATACAGAAAAAATTCACAACTTTATTTACTATTCAAAGAAAATTATTGGTTCAAAGAAGAGGAAAGTTGCCTAATTTAGAAATACAATGAATGATTTTTTGTTTTATTTAAAAAATTTGTGCACATGTTCCATTGAACCTAAATCCTGTAGTATAATTTAGCCATAGACTCTGAAACTCATGCAGCTGTAAGTTGAAATTAACTTTTAGTTTTTCCTCTAACACTCCGACATTACATACAAAATATTTACTAATATATAAAATATAACATTTGAAGATTAAGATTTAATATTTCAATAAGAGTATATGTTTGAGAATTTTTCGAAAGTAATATTTGAGGTTTAGGGAAAAAACTAAATTTGTTTTAACCTAGCGCAGCAAGGTTTGCCCTTGCCCTTGGGCTGTCAACTAATTGTGGTTGAACTATAGTGTCCAAAATTGTATTATTTGGGATTTAATCATTCTCATCGTAGGGACCATTAAATTCAACATTTCTTAACACGAATAGTAAACAAATATGTAAAAGTGACACTAACAGAAACATCCCACTTACACGTTTGTGAAATGAGTAAACAAGGCTCAATGGTTACCTGAAGAAATTGAATTTTAACATCAATCTAACTTCTGAATTTATTTCTCATGTTTTCATTTTATATTTTTCCAAGATTGACAAAAAGCATTTCTTTAACATTAATTTGAATCATATACAGATTTTCTATTTTCTCTCAGCGTTGCCTTTAAATATTTTAGTAGTTCTGTCCATGGAAAAAGATGTCATAAAATTGTCAGAAGAGGATAAGTTTAATTAAAAGTTTCGAGGGAAACCAAATCTTAAAATCGCTTTTTAAACTTTTTATAAAAACTAAGTAATAATTTTCTTTAAATCGTTTTCAATAAGTTCAATAAGTTTTGTGGTAATTTTCAAGTATTAAAATAAGTCTTAATTTTTAAATTGTAAGCTTGTAGGTTTAAGGTGTTTTGCAACCGCTATGATCACGTTATAATAGTGAAGCATTAAATATAAAAATGATTCAATTTCGTCAGTTCTATGCAATATATTTATACTAGCAATATAAAACAATTGTTTCAATAAAATTTGTTGAACTGTTGAATTTAGTTTTATTTAAAAAATATATATATTATTACTTAGCAATAAAGTAAATAGAATAAACAAAGTTTCATTAAAAAGTAATCAATATCAGTTAATAAAACGTCAAAATACTGAGTAATTATATAAAATAATTAAACCTAAACATTTTGTTCGAATACATTTATAAATAATATAATGCCCAAACTAAATAAAAATATTTAATTTACCCTTTGATATTTAAAACTTAATAACAATTGATGATTACAAAATAAACCAAATATTTTTTACTACCACAAAAAATTCAACATGAACTAATAAGTTTTAAAAAACATTTTAGATATATATATATACAACAAGAGATTAATTTGTTACTCATTAAACATATTAAGATCCCCGAACGTTGTTGCTCCCCCTTGGTCGAGAATATGCATCATCATATCAGACAGCTCGTGAGGTTGACTCGTAGGATTGTTGTTGCTTATATTGTGGCTACCGGAATTGGAACTCTGATCTTCCATCTGAGACTGACCTTGCCAAGCTCCCCACAGCGCAGTGTTGTTCTGAGCATTGTGGTAAGGGGCCTGAGCGGCTGCTCTTCCGCCTAGCTGGGTATATGTGGATCCTGATGGAGATCGAGAGGGGCTAACCTCGCTGTATTGATAACCTTCAGTGCCTGGCTGACAGAGGGTCCAAGCAGACTGGGCTGCAGACGGACTAGCAGATTTCGTCATTCTAGGTATGCCTTGTTGTCCAGGAGAAACATAACTAATAGGGGACTGGTTTGTTTCATAACCATAAACCTGTCCAGTTCTCGTGTCTCCAGTATGCATATGCTGAGGTATATGAGGATACCTCTGCATATTATGATCAACAACCGGTTGGTAATTAATTGCTTCAGTAGCTTCTGGTTCAGCTGTACTTTGAGACTTGGCAGGAGTATTGGTACATACTATGTACTCAACCTCGTCAGTATAAGGATTAAGGAAAGCAAACGCTGCTGTACGAAGCCAGATCCATTCTCTGTTCTTCATTTGGAATCGAAACATTACTGACATCACTTGTCCTTTTAATTTTACAACCTGTTCAAACGATTCTTTCATGTGTGTCTGATCTTCAGTATGTATGAAATCGAAACACGATTTTCCTAACAGTTCAGGGGGCGTATATCCCAAAATAGCCATTACTCTCTGATCGACAAAAGTAAACTTACCCTCTACAGCATGACGGGAGATAAATTCAGCATTACTACTGGATCCACTAAGGTCACTTGTATTTGGAGTAGAAGTAACTTGCAGTCTTCCGATTGCGACAAGGCAACAATGAGAAGAATCTTCTTCCATGCCTCTCTCCATTTGAACAGCTGACAGGGGATGAGCTTCAAAGTGACTAGTCGGCGGCCAGTTTTTGATATAACCAGTACAGTGAACAACGGCATAGTTATTGCCGTCTCTAGAGGGACCAAGAGAATTTCTCTGCTTCAAACGATTGAGATGGCCAGCAGCTAGACTTTCAGGACCTACGTTCCCGATCTTGAGACGACAAATGAATCCTCTTCTTGATCCCATGCACAAACGCAATGAAGACTGATGCCCTTCTTTCTTAACAGTTCCTGTTTTCAGATCTAATATCCGACCTGAGTTCTGTGGCTCTTGAGTAGATAGCTGTTCCCTAACTTTGCCGATATCTTCCGGATGAAGATGTTCAAAAATATTGGAACCGTACCAATCACTCTGAGAATGATTAAGGACTGGAGTAACCGAGTCAGAGACGTATATAATGCGACCAGTATCACAAGAAACCACAAACAAAAAGCCATCTGCAGCCTCTAAAATAAGATGTTTTAGTTCTTGATCTGTAAGGAAGGAGGGTTTATAAGTTCCGTCAGAACTGGTATTTCCTGTACCTCTTAGAGCTTTCATGTGGGCGACTGCCATTCGAAGAATTGTCAGCTTATCAGGTTTTCTCGCAAGGGCACTGCATGTCGGCACCATATCAGAAAGTTCTGTTATGTAAGCTGTCATTTTATTTCTTCTGCGGCGCTCGATTTCGCAGTGATTCTCCCGGCTCGCGAACCGTTCCTTATCTTGCATATTGTCGTCGTCCATTCTAGAATACTTATTTCCACTAGGGTCTTCTTCGTTAGATCTGCAAATTATAAAAGAAAAAATATTAGTAACTAGTTATATTTGAAAAAAACAGCATAAGCCATGGTTATATGAGATAATAAATTTTAAATATGATCTTAGAATTTCTCTGCAACCATTATAAATTAAATTTAATAGAACAAATTATTCAAGAATTAGCATATGTATTTTTTTTTAACATAATAAAATATTGTTACTAATATTACTTAATTATTTCTTCCTGGTTTTTAATGATTAACAAATTTAATAGATTTTTTTAAGACTATATATCTTTGCGCTTAACAAATAATTTGTTCCATAAAATCTGCTTGTTTCACATGAAATTGTAGGTTTAATAGTTAACTATGAGCACAATAATTTTAAAAATTTTAATTTGCTTTAGAGCAGATTTTTTATACTTCCAAATAATATTCAAGTTTAAGCATGAACCAATCTATACAATTAACTATCATAAATTTTGAAATTGACCATGCGCAAAACCTTCAAAACTAAAAGAAACTATTAATGAAATATTTTATTTTATTAGTTAATAATATTACATAATATGTATTTATGTTTCTATAATAATAATATTAATATATTTGTTAATTATCCCTGAATATTAATATTTCATGTAATATGAAAAGATACTTGTAGCAAGCATTGTCATCATGAACCACGAAATGGTAATATATTTTTAAAATAAGTAAATATATAAAAATGATAATCAAATTCAATCGCACTTTGTTATAAAGCAAAGAATATATGTTTTACCATTTTAATGCTTGGAAATGAGGGGTATAGGAGATGTGGAGTTGAAATAGAATTGTGTGAAAAGTATTTAGTTTATCGTAATCAGTGTATTGATTAAAACGTAATAGAATGTATTTTTCTTACGTTAATAATATTTACATAATTAATAATAATTTATTAATTTTCCAACAAAGTTAGGTTAGGGCAATTACCATTTTAAAAGAAAAATAATTTTTATCAAGATTGGTGAAGTTAATCTTTAAAATGATGTTGCAAGCATTGATTGTAAAGAATTATTAAGATAGATATGGGGTAACGACAAAAAGACGCAATTGAGACATAATATACAACAATGAAAATATGGATTGTGACATTTTCTTCATAGAAATTAAAAACTATCAGAAATTAATAAATTAGTAATTTTAATCTGTTTAATAAATAGTTGCCAATATTAAAATATTTATATACCATCTTGTGGCCTTGGAATATTTGTAAACTGGCATACAGCGTACTGCTACTATATTGCTACTCTAACTGTTTTCAGGCATAGAAAAAAATTCATGACAGAGGTCACGCCCATTAAATGTATTAAGTATCTACACAAAATTAACTAATGAATACAATTTTCAAGAGATTAAAATTTCCTAATCACTCTAAATTAAGAAAAATAAAAATAGGAGTATTGATATAATGAAACAAAATACACTAGATTTGTAAAAATAACCAGAATTAACTTTACGGTACGAGTATAAATTATGAAGATATAAACTTTTGAAAATTTTTACTAGACATTAAAAATAACTGACACAGATGATTGGAATTTATTTAAAACTATGCAGTTATAAATAAGTAATTCAATAAAAATACAGTTCGTTTATATATTAATTATTACAATACCTACTTTGGGTTGTGTAGTTTGAAATATATAACTAATGATTATTACTAAATGACAGAATCACCGATCAATAACTAGTTTAGATTAAATGAAAACACAACAAACAACTATTACAAATATTTTAAAACGAATGTCTTTAGTGCTATTTTGTCCTTCAAAAGAAGTAAACAATAAATAAAACTTTCACCTAAATTCTCAATGGATAACTAGACATGATTTATATAAATTATCGAATTAGATAGACTTACCTTATCATGTAAACATCGGCCATTCTTTAATAATTTTCATAAAGTCAAAAAATCTCTTATGAACTCACAGCACACACAAAACTACTTAAATGACAAGTTTCCAGATTGATGTAGCTATGTTGTTGATCTGTTGTCCATTTGCAGGATAACCTTCCCTTGGGCATGTCATAAACAAACTAAAAAAAAAATCGAATTAAACTTGCACTTATGCCTTTTTCTATATAAGATATATTTTTTAGAATTTACGATTAGAATTTATTGTTTCATATATTATTTTCATTATGTTCAAACAAATATTTTGTTGATTTGTAAATGGAGAGTATCGGGTCACCATTTATTCCTGGAAGGCATTTGTATTCAAAACATTTACGTTCTCGGTTTCCGCTGGCCTCTTACCTAATGGTTTTATTTAACTTTATTAATATTTTCTCTGTACAAAATGAAATTAACCATCCGATAAAAATTAATATCATTTCGATAGCTCGCATATTCATGCCAATTATGGAATTACTATAACGACTCGCAAAATTTAAAGTGCTAATCAGGTACGTATTTTATTTATTTTTACTTTAACAAAAACATCATTGATACTTCATACTGCCGAGTTAAAAAAGAGAAATACATAATGTTCTTAAGGTGCGTTTAGACATTTGTATCAAGAGAAATAAAATAGTTTGGTTTAGCAATTATGTCTCTATTAGTTAAGTTAGATTATCGTGTTTCCCATAATTTAGGAAATTTCTAAACGCACCTTCAGATTTTCAATCCAACAAATTTTGCAAAAAAATAAATAAGTCCTGACATACATAATATTCTTGTTATAAAATGCATTAACTGCAAAAGTTTTAAGATTTTCAGAATGTTGTTATAGTACTACTTTACAAGTGTTGTAAAAGTGGGTTCACTTTTATAGGTGGGTCCAAGATCTTATGATCACGCTGTAAATTGGATTCCGATAATGGATGAGAACTGACAACGTATTCACATGAATAATCTCCATTTTTTTTAGATCATGATTTAAGGCTCCCACAAACTTTTAACAGGCCCTTTTCAGTTGAAATCGTGGCCTTAATTAGCTTTAATTGACGAGACACACTACCATTCTCAGAATTCTATTTATAATGCGATCGTGAGATCTTGTCCACACTGTTCGATCTGGAGCACCACTTAACACAGGCGGATCTATGGGGGGGGGGGGGCGCTTTCGGGCTGAAGCCCCCCCCCAAATGGTAAAATATAACCATGCTTTATCGAAAAAAATATTAAAAAACTATCTATTAAAGTATAATTATTCGTGTAATTACATTTAAAAGGGCTTTAGGAATCACTTAAACACTAGTTCATATAGGTACTTAGTTTCTTTCCTATTTTCCAAGGTAATTATCGTTACTTTTATGAAAAAAAATAGCTTTCGGGCTAAAGCCCCCCCCCCAAAATTAAATCCTGGATCCGTTAGTGCCACTTAATAAAGTACTAATACGTAAATAAAAGGCAATTAAAATCTACTCAAGTGTACCAAATTTTCTAGCAATTTAGATAGCTTAAAATAAATCGTTGGTCTAGCTCCATGGTGACGAATATGAAAATGTTTCGAACTGCAAAAAGCGTGTTTTGAAATTATGATTGCTGATGTAAGGTGGCTAAATTGATCTTATTGTGTTAAAGACAGTTTCTCTCACTCATACTGTTGTTACTATTCGATGATATTAAAAAAATGTCTAACAAAAAATTACGACGATATAATTACTCCCCCCCCTTACAATAAATAAAATAATTCAGCCGGGTTCTTACGGGAATTGTAATTACGACAGAAATGACTAGATAAATATATGTATAAATTAAAACTAAATTGTTTATGAAAATACCTTCCCTGAATAATCGAAATCAATCTCACTCTAAATTAAATTGTGCCTGCGCGTAGTAAATAACAAAGTAAGAATCTTTATATCAATTCATTAATCAAAAGTTTTTAAGAGAATCATACAATGTGTTATGAATAATACATATCGATTTGTCACTGTATTAAGTTCTTGCCATTTTCATTGACAATTTCAGTGAGTTTCAGTATGGTTTGATTTTATAAAAAAATTAGTTAGCTTAAAACGTTACATTTTTTGTCTATGAATAATAGATGTAGAACCAAACAATTCTAGTTAATTGAAGGTTATGATTATAGTTTGGGTAATTATTTATATGAGGATCGCACGGGTTACGAATGGTCCTATCGGGTTGTTCACAATCACTTCGGTCACACTTGTTTCTAAAAGAAACTGTATTTTTGTATGTATATTTTTATTTATTTATTTTTAATTTTACTGACAGATATGTTGAATCATTGACCAGACTTCATTAAAATATTATTGTATGTTAGACGTTCCCAAACATATCGAGTTGAAGTTGAAATATCCCTCAAATGTTCAAATAAAAATACTTTGAAAAACTTGAAATACTTTAAATCTTGTTTTGAACAAATTCACATTTCTTAACATGGAATGAAAACAATATTCGCCAAATATGAATCATAAACCCTTAACATTTTTTTTCCTAGTCTATGTCATTAAGTTACAATGAAATATTGCTCATACAGACAATAACAAATGTTATTTTAAGTTATAATTATTATAATAGAAAAATAGTAACAAAGAATGGATTGGAGAGATTTGATAAAAGAAAATACTTTTGTTTTACTAATATCTATTTTTTTTAAATTCTAATTTATTAATCTGAAGGTATTATAAAAATTTCTTAAATTTTTTACATAATTTTTATATCCTAAGATTTTCTCCTAATTTTTCTAAAATCTAACTGGTCGACGTTGAAAATCTTACTATTCTTTCATCTTTATGACTATCTTTCTTTTTGAAATTTTTTACATTTGTTAAATTATTGGTTAAAGTGCTTTTTCTGTTTTTCTATTTCATAAAATATGGAGAGATATACGTCGTTATCATTTAAAATATTCTCCCATTCTGTATTTCAGTACTTTTTTTTTCATATAGTTTTTGGGTTTCATATACATATAGTTTTAATATTCTTATATTGAAAAAACTAATTGATAGGGTAAATGCACCAGCAGCTGACATGCTAAAGTAATTTTTTAAAAACTTTTACGTGTAATAACTGAAATATTGATGTTATTGTATTTTTCATGGATTCATCTTATAGAAATATTTCTCACCTTAACAAGACATATTTCAAATCCATGAAACGTTTATCTAAATTTTAAAAAATTGAAAATTAAGAGAATAGTTTTGTTGTTTCGGTAGGAGACACTGTTTGATTTTAAATGTTCCCATAGCTGACAGAGATGATAAAAAGGATGTAATTAAGGGATATTTCAAATTCTTCATTTTAAGATTAAACAAAAACTATTTTTAACTTATTAAATGAAAACGTGTTTATTACCTTAAAGGAAATAGATACCAAATATAATATTCATATAAATGTTAAAACACATAGACAATGGAAAATTCTGTCTGTCGTGGTCTATGTGATATTTTTACAAAATATGTTCCATTTTATATCCTATTAATTAATGAGCAATAATATTTTTACATTATTATCAATAACATTTTTAAATTGTTTCCCAGTTCTCCATCCTTCAAAAATAAAAATAAAGTTTTTTTTTTTATGTAAACATTAAAAGTTAATTAGAACTTAATACAAAAATAATATTTATGAATATAAGCAATTAAAATAAAATCCAAACACTTTATTATTTGTATTAATTTTGCTGTTTTTATTTCTGCTGCTAACCAGCCATTTTCAACCTAATATTTCTTTTAATCATTGAATTAAAAAAAACATATTTACTACTTTAACTCTATTAAACATCAGATATCTTTAATGTTAAAATAACTCAGTTTATTCTTTTAACCAAAAAGATTTTAAATAGAACAGCTTTGAGGAGTGGATAGTTTTGAAAAAATCCTTTCATCTAATAAGTATGTAGTCCAAAAACCATGCAAAATACCAATTACTTTTTATTTGGCAGTAATTTTTATTTTTTATATTTTGGATTTGATTAGAAATCAACCTTCTATTAATAAATATTTCATCATTACTTATGATAGGCGCAGACTTCGGGTAGTGGGAAGAGCAAGGGGGACGATCGCCCATCCAATATTCTGAAATACAAAAATTAATATCCATTAATCTACATTAATGAATAAAATATGTAAACTAAAATAAATTAAATCCCACATTTGAATCATCAGAGAATTGAGCTCATCTCATTGTCTTAAACATTTAAATGAAAATAAATAAACATTTATCAAGTTTATTTTTATATATAGTATTATATCCCATCACCATCTACCCCTTTGTTAAAAATTTAGGCTTTTTCATAGATCAAAACCTCTCCTGGAATCATTATATCTCTCATAATTCCTGTCATGCAGTTTCTACCCTCAAACTATTCCATCGCTTCCATCATCTCCTACCCAAAAATACCCTTAGGCTCCTGGATTTTTCTCTCATCTTTCCTCACTTTGACTATAGCTATGTTGTGTAGGATGGCCTCTCGGTGGAGCTCCGTGATAGACTGGAAAGACTTATGAATAGCTTCGTAAGATTTGTAATTGGAACCCCGAGACGCTTCCATGTCTCCCACCACTACACTGAGTTAGGATAGTTCTTCCCCTCCTTAAGAAGACAATATTTCCTAGGCACATGCCTTTTGTCAAATCATTAACAATCATCGTCCTTGTTATGCCTACAACCTTCTCCAATTTAAGTCCTCAGCAATCCTGACCTAAACATCCCTTCTTATATATCTGCCTCATTCCAAAACTCCTTTGTAGCCCGCTCTATCAACTTCTGGAATCCTCTCCCTATTAACATTCAGCATGCCCCTCCGTATCCATGTTCCACGTCCACCTTCTATTCCAATTCCTGTTCCAAAAACAGTCAGATACCTACTAACTATTCACACTATATATGTATTGCATAGCTATCATATAATCATACGATAATATTTTTCTTTGTTAGGGATAGTTCATGTATTTCCTGTCAAAATATCCCCAATTAAAATGTTAAGGGAGTGAAAATATTGTTTCGCTCCTCTCCCCAATAATTTGAAGTAAATAAAAAAAGTTAAAATTGATTAAAAGTATGCTACAAGAATGAATGAAATAAGAAAAAAAAAAGCAATTAAGAAATGTCGACTAG